TTACATGGTAATTATTAGAGGTGGAAATGGAAATTTTAAATCCGAAACGAAACCCGAAATAAAAAAATTATCAGGCCCACACCAAAACCGAAAATGTTTATTATTTACATTTTTTCACATTTTAAAAATATTTTATTTTTATTAATTTTTTATAAATGTTTTAATTTTTTAATATTTATTTTTATTAAATATTTGTATTTTTTACTTTACTTTTAGGGGCTTTGGGGAAATATTAGGGGTCTAAACATACCCCTGATATTTCCCTTTTAAAATAGAAAAACAGTTTGAGCACACAAAGTCCTGAATCTCTTTTTCTGTATCCCCTGTTACAAATGAACAGGAATCCTCTATGAGCGTTCATGTTCATTTATAACTTGTGGACACAGTATGTTTACTATAACTAAAACTATGAATGAACAAGGGGTGATGTAGATCAGGCCTTCTTAAACTTTCTCCACTCGTGACCCCTTTTTGTCCGAGAAAATGTTTAAGGGACCCCAACGTCGGTGTCTCCATATGGGGTCGCTACCCACACTTTAAGAAGCCCTGATGTAGATCACTCCCATTCATTCATAATTGGGTATATAGTACACATACCATGTCCTCAATTATGTACAAACACTCAGCGATCACTGATCACTGAGTGTTTGTACCTTGCTCTCCTCTCTTTCTGTCATCTTTCTGCCTTGAAGAAGGGACGCTGCGCGGCCCCGAAACGTCGGCTTTGTTGATTATTGTGACATAATTGTCCATTAAAAAGGACATATCTATTTAAATCATTTGAGTGCTGGTGACCTGTCTCTTCATTAAGTTGAACTCTGAACAAGCAGTAAAAATCATTTTAAAACAAGCTCTCGTTGTGGAGAAATTCATCTTCAAAGTTCACGACAGAGGCACTGAAATGACAACTTATTTCCCCTATTTTCTATAGAGATCAGAATCTTGGCAGCCTGGCAGTCCTCTAATGCAAATACACAGCAGGTGTTTCTTATACAATTTTATTGTACAATCTCCCCATTCACACTTGAATGGATACATTTTCAGGTGATTTTGACGTTTCTTTTTCACATTTTTCAGGTCAGTTTAAATGGTTTGGTTTTAGCCAGTGGAGGAGGAGACGGTTGTTAGGAGTGAAATAGCGCAACAAACGTCTTTTTGGGCATTTTTCAAACACTCTCATTTAAAGAAGAACTATGAGGTGAGTGCTTTTCACTCACCTCATAGTTCTAGCCGACCTGTGACAATGAAACTGTCACAGGTCGGCTCAGTAGATTGGGAGGTGAGCGAACACATACCGGCGTTCGCTCACCTCTCGATCCTGTCATGGCTCTCTGAAGTGACAGGGGAGGTGCTGGATTCCCCCCTCCCCGCTCCGATCCGCCAGCGCTGACTGATGAAACGGACGGGGGAGGGGGCGGGTACAGCTGGCTCTGCCTCTAGATAGGCAGAGCCAGCTGTCAGTCACGCAGCTGGGCAGATCAAGACATAATTGGCGGGATCCGCTTCAGCGTCTTAGTATACCGCGAGCAGCAGCTGAGCCTAGGGTGACGGGAGGATGCTAGTTTGTGTCCTCCCGTTACCCTACGGAGAACTATGGGGAAAAGCCTTAACCCCATAGTTCTCCTATAAGTCTATGGGGCTGTAAATGCATGCTTCTCCTCAAAGAAACAAATTCACTTTTTCAAGCTAAACGCTCATTTGTGAACAGGCCTTACTAAAAATAATGACATTCTGCATGTGGAGAGTTGTTGTGCTTTGGGAAACGTGCAACAAATTGCTCAGGTGTGAATGGTTTGGATCCATCATTAACTATGTAGTGCAAGGGCCTTCCTGATTTGATACAAATGGCAGGGCAGGAAAGGGGGGGCAAGCGAGTGCCCCCTTCCTCCCTGTTATACCAGGCCACATGCCCTTGCTACAGGGAGGGTGCTTTTCCAGGGTCGCCCCTGAAAAAGCACCTTGTCCCTGTGCCGATGGGGACAAGGGCCTCTTCCCCACAAGCCCTGGGGTGTTGGTTGTAAGGGTGCGGGCAGGGGGGGCTTATTCACATTGGCTTATTCACCCAGTTGCAACCCCCCCTTGTGAATGAGTAAGAGGTACCCCTTGTACCCCTACCCATTCACTAAGGGATTAAAATAAATTGTAAATAAAAAGACCAGAGTTTTGAAAAAATCCTTTAATTAGCCATGATTGGGCAAAGTCATCATTACTTTGCCCAATCATGGCTCTTCAGTGCACTATGGCATGATTGGGCAAAGAATTGCACCTGACCTTTGGTCAAGTGCATTGCTTTACCCAATCAGGGCTTCACAAGTCAAGCAGCCCACCAAACACCCTGATAGTTCCTGTGTTTGTTGAACACACGTACTACTGATGTACGAGTCGAACTGTTGGTCGACTCAAACATCGAGCCCATTCCTTGTTATCAGTATTTTGATGTCCATAGTCTGGACACAGGTGAACTTTAATTTTTAAGTTGCATGATCACCTAAAAGCATAGCAAAATGTTTGCTTTGTGCTTCACCACACTCCATGAAACATTGGCTGCAGTATCTAGGCTACATGTTAAAGCCAAAATTCATGTTTGTAAAATAAATAATAAGTCCATTAACCAGTAGACCTAAAACATAGCGCTAGCAACAATACTCCTCTCCACAGACTTACCCAGCATCATCCAACCTCTCTCGTGAGCCCAGGACCATTATATACACACCTGCTGGTGATGCATTATCATGCAATCTGGACTTAGAGTACCCATGGACAGCACAGTGTTCACATATCATTATGTTAGTGCCATGCAATCCAGGAATAAGGACCGCCCACCGTAGCCACTGGAGAAGGGGAATTATCCATAACACCACTGGACTGGCCTGATGACTGCATGAACAATGGTATATATAGTGGGAATTATAAACAAAAGGTGATGGTAGGGAACAGACGGGTACAACAACAAAAAAAGTGAAGTTGAGCTTTTACCAGAGGAAGTTTCAGGTGCTTAGCAGTTAAAAAGGGTGGATCGGGAAAGTGGGGTGGCCCAGTGGTAGCTGCTTAGCAGGGGGTAATCATGCCTGGTCCTTAGTTGGTAGGAAACGATTGCTAAGTTTATGGAGAACATGCCTTGTTCCTGCCATGTGAGAGACTGTACTGGTGGAGGAAAACCTACAGAGTTTGCAGAACTTGTTTCATTGGTGGTGCAGTGATTGACATTACCACTGCTCTAGAGCAATAATATCAATACGTTGCACACATAGCTTTTTCCATCTTGTTCTGCTTCCATTGACTTTGCTCTGGAAGTGGCACTGTAATTTATATGACAATACAACAGGATAGCTGGAAGAGACAAGGACCAGATACATTTTTCTGTGCAGCTCTACATGTAATGGGTGAGGAAGTACCTTGAAGACTATTATTTGCAGTGGGTCAACAATATGAGAGGTGCCCATCAGTCTGGGGGATGCAGGATGTTAGTGGTCATCAGCCATAGAAGAGTGGAGGGTGAGGTGGAGCAAAAGAAAGCACATTCCCAAAAGGATCTGTTCCACATAAGTGGGTGGTGCATCAGAGGACTATAATAACTCAAAGTAGAGGCATATTTTATATTTCAGTGGCCAATTACATGAAAGAGGAGCAGGCCAGGTGGCATATCAGGGATCTAGCAGAGAAGGGAGATGTCATCCAATAGATATGTGACAATGGAACTGTCATTTCATCTGCCTTGTTTCAGAGTATGTCATTAGTGGCCAGAGGTGGCCAGAATGGTTCTAATGCATCAAGTATTATAATTCTTTCATTTATATGTTTCAGTACTCAGGCTGCCTTTGATCAACTTGCTCTGAATTCTGCTTTAAGCTCTGCAAAAACTTGAAAATATTGTTTATCATCCTGCCTTGACCTTGCTATAGGACCATCGCTGTAGTAACATACTTAATAACTAGGGATGTTCAGATACCAGTGCTGGTACCTGGCATTTTCACGAGAACTATCAGGGATGCAGCGGTTGCAGTTGGGAAGGGGCCCTGGAGCTCCACCGCTGTCTTGAAATCATTAGTCTGTATTGTTTTTTTAAAAACTGTCACATGACAATAAACAAAAATGTATAAATACTAGTATCTGTGAGTACTTGGACAAGTATCAGTATTTGTACGTGAAAAAATGGTATCGTGTATCCCTAATATATATTTATATTTTTAAAAATTCATTAAAACAGGGATGCACAAATCCCAGGAGCTTCGTATGCTCCTTACAAATGTAAGCTGCCTCCTAACTTTTGCATTTTTCTCTAGTCTAGTCTTGGAGCTGGAAAAGTATCTGTACCTGTACTTGTAATGAGTACGGTACTTGGTATCTGAACATCCCTATTAATAACGGTCTCTAACATGTCTCTAGGTTTTCTGGAAACATTCCTGGTTTTGAACAGTGAGCATTTTCAGTAAACCCCCCAATTATCTAATTAATTATGTTCCCAGAGTTGGTGCCAGTGAGAGTAGAAATGCCCCAGCACTAGTGTCAGTGGCTGTAAGAGTTCCCCTTTAAAATGGTGTCAGGAAAAGTAGGCATGCCCCCTTACACTATTGACAGTGGGAGCAGGAATGCCCAGTACAGTTTGCTTTAAAGCCAAAATAAAGCTCAAAAATATAGAGAGATAGGTTGAACCGTGAGCAAGAAGCTTGATTGTTAATGTCCTACTGTATAATTGCTTCAGAGTGAGAGTTCCAATTCCTCTCCCCAGCAGCAAGCTGCATAGAGGACTTTATTGTGACCCAAACAAATATTAAGACAAAAAACAGATAGCTTGAATGTGCATAAGTATTCGCAACACCAAAAGTCAATATTTTGTAGAGTCACCATTTGCTGCAATTACAGCTCCAAGTCTCTATTAGGGACAAATATATAATCCAGTTAAATGTCAATCCAGAGTAGACATATTATCCTTACATATAAAATGCTCATATTTTAAATTACATTTGTTTTCCTAAAATGTTTTTATTGTTTTTATAGAGATGTGGGGTCATAAATCCAAAGACTGTTCTGCCAATGCTGATCTTACTAATAAACTGAAGGACACTGGTTTGGACCCCGAATACTGGCTTCCCATCATAGAAGAATGTTTGGGCATACAAAATATTCAATCATTAAAATATATTCAGCCCGAAGAATGCTTGGTGATAGAGGAAAAGCTTCGCTATCCCTGGGAAAAGAGGGCATTACATAAATTGTTTAATATACCTGACAACAGTGTGAATATTGCTGAAGTACAAGAAAAGAGAAACCAATTGATAAAGGAGAAAAATGAACAAGCACATAATCTAACAGCCGAGTTTAAAAAAATGGAATCTAAAGGGAAAAGTCGACTCGACGACATTGTTAAAGAGCATGAAAAAGGAATGTGGAAGAATCTGGAAATTCCCACTAAAAACTCAGCACTGCCTAAGAAATCTTTGTTGGATCTGATAAAACACTTTGAAAAGCAGACTAACCTCAGAGAGGAGTCGTTTTCAAAAAAAGAAAACTTAACCGATGAGGAGGTCATTCAACATTCATCTGGGGGCCTAGCACTGGAGGGAATTTCCCAAACCAAAAATACAAATGATATGTTTAAGAAACCTGAACCCCTTCGGTGTATCCCAGAGGGCTTCAAACGTGTTGGACCAGAACAAAGTCCGGTTTTTGAGGAAAAAGAATTTACTTCTCAGGAAGAGCAATCCAGTTTCCTTACAAAAGTTGAAAAAATTGTGTTAAATTGGGAACTTGATACAATTACTGTGTCTGATTTTGCACAGCTTCTTGGCATTTTAGAAAGTTCTGTGGAGGAAGTTCTGCAAAATACTGTCAACATACACTCATCCAGTGATGATCAATGTCAAGCAAAGACTACAGCTATAAAGAACATTAGTCTTTCACTGTATTCCTTTCTAAGCTTCCTAAGGAAAACCAATCAAACAGACACAGAACTACTGATGCTTTGCATTGCCAACAACTCTGGGTACTGTTTTCAAAGCTACAACTTTCAAAATCTTTTGGGATTAAAAGAAATAGAGTTTCTAAGAAATCAGATGCAGGTAAAGTATAAGGAGTACACAAGCATCAGAAGTCAATGCCCTGATCGGGCTCAAGCTTTTGTCCTGTACACAGGCCTGACATCTGTAGGTGAGTACCAAAACATGTCTTTGGAAAAGAAAAAAGAACGTCTGCATTTTATGAAGAAACACATGACCGGACGTCTTTCTCCTGAAGTTCATAAAATAATAAAACAATATTCAGAACATTGTGAATGGTACAAATTAGAAGAATATCTCAGAGCATTTAGCTATGGTGAACCAACAAACATAGAATTAAGAAAAACTGTGGTTGCCACTGAACAGAATATGTACAAGGAAGAAAAAACCTCTACTAAAAATAATGCAGCAAAGAATTACAGCAGCATGGAGAAGGACTTTTTACTACTGCTGGATAGACTGGACCTTAAGAAGTATTACCCACAAAAAATGAAGAATGCTGATTTTCATAAGATTTGTCAACCTTCTTTGGTTGAAGAACAGATTTCTGATGAAAAACAACTTCCTCTCCATTTCCTGCAGAAATTACTTATGTTAGACTTTCATGCAAGATATGTACAGTGTGCATGCGATAGTGAACCTGTCCATGCAAAGGTGGGGATCATTCAAGAAGAAGAAAACATGGATGGCACTGATCTTGTAGAACAATTTCTGGAAGTTGCTGAAAAAGAAGATTTTGAGCAGCAAAAGTCAAACAGTGAACAACCTTTTAACCCAATGAATGTCCAAATGTCAATTTTCCATTGTGCTAATGATTTCATGCGACAGTATCTTTACACTAAACTCTCAATTTGTCAGTTTGCTCTTCAACTTTTGGTAACTTTTCCCAATACAAAGTCTATAGAGTTCCCACTTTGGTCTTTTCAGGAAATTAAAAAGAAGTGGAAAAATAAAAGTGGCAAATCTTATGACACATTCATTAAAGAAACAGAGACTCCCATCATATCCTTCATTCGTCTTGGTCCATCTTCTTCCTCTAAATCACAGTTATTGAACTGGCTGATTAGTAAACAGAAGCATGATATCTTCTATCATAGACATTGCAGAGGAAGCACACAAAATGCTTTCCTGATGAATGGAGTGACAGAGATTGCCTGGTATTTTCCAGGTGGAAAAGGTGATGACACATTTGATGACTGTATTGCATTCACGAATCTACATGGTGATGCCACAGAACATGACCTGCAAATGAAATTCTTAGAAGAAATTTCTTCTGTCATTGTCGTTCTATTTGCTGAGTTGGACACAAAAGGGAAAGAACTGTTACAGTGGCTATTACAATCCTCAAAACCACTAATTTGCCTCCGTGCAGACAAGGAACAGAGTCCTCCGCCTAAAGGCACCAAAATACAAATAGGTTTAAAAAACAGAAATGAAGCAGAATTGTTACAACATATATCAAAAACTATAACATCTTTGTTGGCTGTTTCAGAGAAAAGATATTCACTTCACATATGTGCCAGCATTGCCAGGAAACATGGATTTGTAGTGGATGAAGACAAAGAACAGTGTAAACAGGGAAAGAAACAAGCAGATGTGTTACTATCATTGTTAAAAGAAAAAAATGTATTAGTCATAAAGAAAGAATTTCTCCCACTACAAGGAGATCTCTGGAATAAATGGTGCAAGAAAGACAAAGAAGTGACTTGACTGAAGCAAAATAGTAACATGAGCATTGAGCAACAGCGGAGCAACATCCAGTCTGAAAAACAGGCAATAAGGAATAAACAGTTTAAAAGTGCATATCCCCTTAATGATTTCATGAGATCGTTCCTGGATATTCTACAATCGGGCAATCACGGCTCAAAAATGTACTTTCTCCGGTGGTTTAGCATGTATTTAGATGATCTGTCTTCAAAAACTCTTTCAGTGCTTTACCAGGACTACCACAATAAATGGTCAAAACTAAAAGCAGAAAAACAAATGAAAAATAAAAATAAACAAATTATAGAAACAATGGAGAAAGTTTTCGAGAAATTATCGGTTGAAATTGAAATTTCAACATTTGGCCTTGAACACATTCTGAGAGAAATGGGACAAATATATGAAGCTTTAGAAACCTTTAAAAGAAAGGATACATTTTTTTTCACATTGCCAAAAGTTGCTGCCAATCTTATGGTCTCAGGGTATCCGATTGAACTGATGGATGGTGATGCTGCACACGTACCACTGAGATGGATTCAAGCCATTCTGGATGAGCTGATTAAAATATTAGGAGACAAAAAGCTGTATGTCCTCTCTGTATTAGGTATGCAAAGTACTGGAAAATCCACTTTACTCAATGCTATGTTTGGTCTACAATTTGCGGTGAATGCTGGCAGATGTACTAGAGGAGCATTTATGCAGCTTTTAGAGGTTGACAAAGAACTTAGACAGGAAATTAACTTTGACTATGTGCTTGTCGTGGACACGGAAGGACTGAAAGCTGTTGAACTCTCAAAAGAAAACAATCTTAATCATGACAATGAATTGGCTACTTTTGTAATTGGCCTGGGGAACCTCACATTGATCAACAATTTTGGGGAAAATCCCAGTGAAATGCAGGACATCCTACAGATTGCTGTTCAAGCATTTTTGAGGATGAAGATAGTCAATCTACAACCTAGTTGTGTATTTATTCATCAAAATGTAGGAGAAATTACAGCCAAAGAGAAAAACATGGATGGAAGGAGACGGCTTCAGGAGAAACTTGATGAAATGACTTTGTGTGCTGCACAGCAAGAGCAATGTGATGTGACTTGTTTTAATGACGTCATAAGATTTGATGTAGATATGCACATCCATTACTTTGCCCACCTCTGGGCTGGTGACCCTCCCATGGCTCCCCCAAATCCAAGTTATTGTCAAAATGTTCAAATGCTAAGAAAGGCCATACTTGAATCAGGAAAACAGGAAGGGCAACACAATATTTTAAATATCTCTACATTCAGAACTCGAATAAATGATTTGTGGAATGCATTGCTTAATGAGAATTTTGTATTCAGCTTCAAAAATTCACTTGAAATTGCTGCATACAACAAACTGGAAGTAAAATACAGTCAATGGACATGGAAATTAAGGAAACACATGTTGACCCTTCAAAGAGAAATCACCAACCAAATTTACAAGAATGAAATAAATGAGGTTGATAGGATGTCTTTAAATCAACATTTTAAAGAGATCTACAGCACAGTCCTAGGGGAGCTTAAGGCATTTTTTGAAGGTGATAAGGACACAGGGATATTAGTTCAATGGTTAGCTAATACTGAAAAGAGAGTGGCGCAGGTCAAAGATGACATGATACAAGAGATATATAAAAAAGTTAATGAGTTAATTAGATCAAAGAACAACAGTAAAACTTTAAACACACTGAGAGAAAAATATGAAGATGAAATGTTGGCTGAAAGCAAAAAATTGGCCCTGTCTTTGCAGGGAAAATATGTCACTGATGAGGAATTGAGTGAAATATTCAATACAATGTGGAATTCTCTGATCACTAAAGTAACTAAGGATACATATACACCTGAACCACCACAAATTAACCGTGATTTAGAAAATGCATTCCTCGAGCGCTTTAAAAGCGAATCTAACGTAGTGGATACAATCAAGGATTCTTACCGGTGGACCGACTTACTACAAGAATTCAGTAAATATATGCCAAGCAAACGAAAATATCTTGTGCTTACGGAAAGGCTTTCAGATGATACTCAGACAGCAATAATCCGTATAGTACATATTCTAAACAAGAGAATGCATGAATACATAGTTTCAAAGCAGCAGGAACAACTAGATTACCAGTATGTTTACTTCCATGAACTTCTGAATATGATAACCTCTGAAATAAGTGAAGTGTTAAAAAAATTTAAATTCAGAAAGGAGTTTACATTGTATGCCTCCCTTTTCTATTGTCAGAAAGCAGCACACAGCTTTGACAGGCTTTCAGAAGCCTTTTGGAAAGCCAATAACCCCCTTGTCTACCTGGCAAGTAGGAGGAACGAGTTATGGGAAAGCTTTAAAATCTCCTGCGAGGGAAAAAAACAAATCGCAACATTGGCAGATTTCCTGTGCAACAAGTTGGAAGAGGCCATCCGGCAAGGTGTCTATGAGAAGTCTGCAATATGCTTAGCTGGTGAGGTAAAGGCTAACCACCAAGCTTTGAATGGAAACCGATCAAAACTAGAATTCTGTCTACTCAGGTCATTGGCGGAGAAGGAAGATTTTCAGCGTTATACAAATTATATCGATGATCCAAAATCTGCAATTAGTGACTTTATGAAGGAGTGTGTTGAACAGTATTGTAAAAAGACAAACATACCAGAAATTCTAAACATTAAGCTTGATGAATTCAGAAACATTATATTAAAGGCCATCAACAAATCCGCTACAATAGTCAAGGACAAAAAGGGTGATATCGGTGAATGGCTGGATACTTTCTGCTCTCAGCTTGGAAGTGATGTGAAGCTATCAAGCAAGGATCTCAAGAGTGTTAAATATCAGAATATAACCGACATTGATTTCCTGAAGGAAGCGATGACACAGGCTCTTCAAACTGTGGTGAAAAAGCTCATAGACTTATTTTCTACATATGATCTTACCCATCTTGTACAAATGATTCATGGAATCCTATTTAAGCAGTTTTCTGGGTGCTGGGCGCAGTGTCCTTTCTGTGATGCCATATGTACAAATACTATTTCTGGGCACAGTGGAGACCACAGTGTTCAATACCATCGTCCTCAAGCCATTAAAGGTACAGAATGGTATAAGACAACTCACTTTTCTATAGAGATTTGCTCCAGTCTTGTATCCAGTGATTTGCGTTATGTGTTGGATGACAACTCTTTTCCCTACAAAACATACAGAGATGGTGGACATCCTTACAACACTTGGTCTATTACTCCAGACAACTCATCATTATCTTACTGGAAATGGGTGATCTCTTTCTTCCAACGTAACTTTGAAAGCCATTACAACTTCACATTCACAAATCGGGGGACAATTCCAACTCAGTGGGCTTGTATAACAAAGCAGGAAGTAATTAAGGAACTTGAAGAAAATATGTAAAAATTATACTGACATATTGAATGGATTTTTTGAGAATCAAAAGACACTCTTCATGTATAACTGCTTGGAAAATATAAAGGCAACCCTGAAAGATACAGACAAATTGAATGGACATTTCGGAGTACCAAAACACACTCCGCATGTTTTACCCCCCGTGGAAGATTTAAAGGCAACAGTGATAGATTATTTGTACATACAAAGTTGGTCTGAGAATGATTGGAAGGCCAGCATAGGCATCATGTTTACTTGTGTACAGAATTACATCTACATCCAATGTTTGAAGCTCATTACTTCTCACATAACATTCTGCAGACTGAAATCCTTCAGAAAAAAAAAGTGTCCCCAGACAAAAAGCTTTGCCACCAATTCTGCAGATTTAAACCTAGAAGTCATCATATTAATCAGGAAGAACATTTTGACGAAGTAATTAAAGATAATATAAGTGTGTGGATTTATATGCTTAAGTTTTTTTTATTGTTCTACATCATAAAACATGCAAATAAATATAACCATAATAAGCATATGTTTGTTATATTGTATTTGTGTACATTCTTTAACCGCTTGAAGACCAGGTGTTTACACTCCCTTTCTGGCCAGGCCATTTTTCAGTATTCAGTGCTGCGGTACTTTGACTGACATGTATTCCGTCATGCAACGCTGTACTGAAATGAATTTTATATCATTTTTTTCTCATTATGTTAGGAAACCATTATTATTACCCAATTTTTTGGTAAAATATAAAAGACGGGGTCACGTCGGTAAATAGACACCAAACATGTCAAGCTTAAAAATTGGGGGACAATTCGGGGGACAAAACCAAACATGTCAAGATTAAAAAGCTTTTACCGCTCATCAGTTTAGTGTTATTAGTAATTGATGGCCCTTGAATTATTGTTCTCACTGAGACGTTCTCGGCGATATGTAACATGTGCGGCGTAATGGGCGCAATCGTTTTCGCAGGTATACGGACCCGACGCATGTTTGCATGTGTGTATGTATGGGTGTGGACTTTAAAAAAAAAATTGTGTTTTTTTTTAACCACTTGCCGTCCGCCCGTAGTAAAAAAACGGACGGCACTGCTGCATTTTTTTAAATGGTATTAAAAATGTTATATTAAAAATAATAATAAAATATGTGTATAATATGTGTTAAAATAAAAAATTTAAATTGATAAATAGTGAAGGATAGTTTGTCTAAAAGGGTATGGGAAGCGGCTGGACTAAAGGCACTCAGCCCTTAATAGGATGTGTATTCTTAGAATGTACAGCGCTAGCCCTCTTAAAGACAAAGATGTATGAAATCAAACGTTTAAGATCAGGGTTTGAGGTAGGTAGTTGAAGCTAAAAATCAAACATTCAGTGCAAGGGTGTAACGCAAAGGCTCACTAATTTAGAATAAATCTATGTGAATGGTTGTGTGTAACAAGTGATCAAAAAATGTATGAAATTTATCTAATAAATGCTTAAAAGTGTGATAAATTGTATATAATTGTATCAAGTGTGAATAAATATATCAAATGGTGAATAAGCAATGTGTAACCATTTAAATGAACTGAAATAAAAATGAAAATAAACTTCTATCAATGTATCCGTGAATAGTCCAAATCTTTTGTAGTTTTTCAAGTCTTTAAAAGTCCATAAATATAAGACACTTCCACAACGAAAATTCAGTGCAATAATGTGTCCAACGAAAATCCAAAAAACAGAAGAAAAAACGAAGGAAAAATGAAGAAAGAAAGTGGAGAAGATCCCCTCAAGGGAATGCACTCACCAGATCCGAAGATGTTAAACACGTTTGTTTCGTCAAGATAAACCTGGAGCTTCGTTCTAGGTTTCCATGCTGGATCAGGTTTCAGGGAAGGAAAGGTCTCCCGTTTACCAGTGGTGTTTAGACGGGGTATCCTCGTATTTTAGGGGTCCTTCCGGTGAGATATCCAATCACATAATAGTAAAAATAGAACATACGCTCATAGCGTAATAAAACCCAGGTTTATTAACAACATGCTACATACAAGTAAAAACGAGCGCTCAAAAATAATGTCTAAAAAAGCCGGCTCAATCACTTTAGGCGTGATTCCTTTAGACTGGATCAAATGACGTGAAAATAGGCCTGCCCCCCTATTTTCGCCCCCTATTTTCGGGCCTCGGCTGAAGACATGTATCCAAACCTCTGTCAGTATCCTCAGTGGTGAGACATGTTGTTTTACATGCTGGTTTTGTGAGTGTGCCATGATGCCTTTCTACTGTTTTACTGTTCAAATTTTATGTGTAACTTAAATTTTTTTGGGGAAACTTTTTTTTTTTTTTTTACTTAACTTTATTGCTTTCACATAGGGGGCTAAGAAACCCCCCTATGTGATAGCAAAGGGATCTGACAGGTCCTCTTTATGGAGACATCAGGGGTCTCCAAGACCTATGTCACCTAGGACCCCCCGAAGAAGCAGAGATCTGCTTTATCAGCTTCTCTCCAGCATCTGAAGCTGGAGAGTGACACAAGAATGCGGAGGTGATGTAACATACCTCACTTCTGCATTCTGACGGCGGAGAGGGGACCGAAGGGAGATCTTGTACCGATCTCCATCTGATCCCCTGTGGCAGAGGCACTATGCTGGTCCCGGGCTTGCACCGGGCACACCGGAGCCTGGGACCAGCATGACAGTGGGGAGGGGGGGGGCGCACGGGCCGGCAGCTTATACAAGTGATCCGCCGGCTCCATATGTATGTTAACGGGCATCGCTGCCTGTTTTTACATTTTGGGTCTTTCACGTGGCTGAGCGGACGCCCGCTCAGATCTAGAGAGCTCCCGGCTGGCCATTTTTTTACAACGGCCAGCCGGGAAGTAGTTAAACATTTATTCTGCAGATCCTCCACTGTAAGGCTTGTTTATAAATGAAAATATAAAGGTTGCCATTGCTAACCTGCTTTGTTAAATTCTAGTTTCCTGGCTAACCCTGACATTAAAGGAAAGCTATGCTAAAATGAATACAGAGACTGTTGCTGGTATCCTCCTAAAAATGCTAGTTGCCTGACTGTCTCTGGCTTCAGTACTATGAGACACTGACCTTTTAACGTGATATTTAAGTCAAAAGGTTTTTAAGGAATTTCAAATGCTGATTAAATCACATAGTGGATACTGCACCTTGAAGTTTTTAGGTTTTAGCTTGCAAAAACCTGCAAAATCAGCTGGTCCCCTGAGCAGCTGATGGAGGAATGGAGGAACCTGGCCTCGAGGCAGCAGAGAGAATAAATACAGCCCTACCTATGGTGTTAATCCTTTGAGTCCTCTGGTTTGCAAAATGTAAACTAGAACAATCTCATGCTTTTCACTGCTTGAGGTGCTGATTTTTTATGAAATTGGGTAATATTTTACCATAAATCCGCATATTTGTGTCAGGTTATGGTCCTATCACAAACACAAAAATTTCCTACACAACCAGCTAGGCTGCAAAAAAAAAAAAGCTTACAATGTATCAAAACTTGAGTTAAAAACAGAGATTTTATTTGCACAACTTTTACAAAACATGTGGAAGCCACACTGCCTCGTCATGGCTCCTCAGAGTAGTGTGGTCCTAACTCTAATCTATAAGAGCCACGCAGCAGGCAGTATGTGCAGGAGAGGAGTGCAGAGGGAATGACAGTGGGCAGTATGCACAAGAGAGAAGTGCAGTGCAGAAGGGATGACAGTGGGCAGTATGTGCAGGAGAGAAGTGCAGAAGGGATGACAGGGGAGGTATGCACAGAGCCGAGAATGTAGGGTATGCAAGAAAAGAGTGCAGAAGGAATGACAGCAGGTAGTATGTGCAGGAGAGGAGTGCAAGGGATGACGGGGAAGGTATGTGCAGCGTGGAGTGTGTAGGATATGACAGTGGGCAGTACGTACAATAGAGGAGTGCAAAGGGTATAACAGGGAGAGGTATGGGCAGCAGGGCAGTGCAAATATTACATTTGCAGTCTTATAGTAAGGTCAGTTACTTGTGCAATATATATCAAACAACTGAATATATTCGTAAGAACATTATAAAGTGCCAGATGTCCTCTAATGAATGGCCAAATGTTTGTTATTTAATGTTTTTTTTCTTTTCATATGGCCAAACAGTATATCCTGAACTATAAGGAGAGCAAAAGTTTTGAAATCAGATCTTGCATTTCCTTCTCTTATCTGATTAAACTGCTGTCATCAGGACAGGAAGTGAGGGTAAATCTCTCTAATAGAGCTTCTTACAGCATTAAAAACCTAATCCTTCCGCATTTTATCCCAAACTAGAGGACAGGTTTTTGGTTTAACATAAACTTTATTGATGCAACAGTGACCTCGTGTGGGGAAATGTAATATTGCAATTAAATTTTATGTTCCAAGATTTAAATGGAAGAAAATATAGAAAACCAAAAAGAAGAATTTATTTAAACTTCCCAAAATCTCTTTTAGTCTCAAACGTCTTTCAGATAACGGATTTGTATTTGTTCTATGCATATATTTAAGATGAATTATGTTGCTGGTAATAAACCTATTTTCTTCCTTCTGCTTAGGTGTTCATATTTAGGTTCACCAAGATTGTTGGGCAAATAATGGATGAGAGGGAGTTTTCCTGCTCCTCCTCAGGTGTATCATGGCAGAGCAAGAGTCTTTATCAATAGTGCCCTCAAAGTGCCTATCCATAGTAGATAATATAATACCACTTCAGGTCAGTCCACCTTTGCCCACTTTGTTACTGTCCGCAAGTTCAGCTCATTACTGCAACCGTAGACTACAAGTATAATTGAAAATTAACTCCTTTATCCATTAAAACAGGTACAACAGGAAGGCTAGAGACCTCTGATGTGTCTCACACTAAAAAGCACTTAGCATGAAATGCGTCAGTGGTCTTCAGCCTCTCTGTACCTATTGTACCTGTTTTAATAGATTTATAATAACAAAGTTTTTTGTTTTGTTTTACTGGAGTTTAGTCCTCTATTATACTTGTAGTAAGAGTGCCCATTCCATGCCTCTAACACTGGATAAGTACAAAAAACATTCCAGGGCTACAACACTAGCAGTACACTTGGACCAGTCATAGACAGGACCTCACCAGGTTGTAGACTTGGTGATACTTTCACCTTCTGTCTCTGGAACTTCTTACCTATTACCTCTCAGAGGACTCCATGGTGTGGACACAATGTTTCCCTGCAGAAAAGTTGCCAGATCTATTTGACTGTTTCCCCAAGTCCTCCTCACTCGGATGTTCCTTTTCTAAAATTCAATGGTTTCTGCACTCTCTCTCCTTGGCCTTAGTCAATGCCCTTGTCTACAGTTGCCTGCATTACCACACTGGTCCTCTTCATGGTGGAATTAGAGTTACTGGAGCCAACACAACTGGGTTTGTAAAAAAGTGTAAACTGTTATTACTGAAAACGTGTTTTATCTTGTCAAACTGTTGGCAGAAGGCCAAACATATCCCCCCTCCTCTCCCCGTGTGTATTCACAGAATGCTGTGTATTTTGTGAATGGTTCATTGAATACAAGGTGTTGTGTGAATGGACAAAGGGAGAAGATGGGCGGAAAAAGGACAGTATGGCTTCCATGAATGAGTTGTAGCGCCAGAAGTATAGCGAGATCTAGAGAATATTATCAAGCATCAATTAAACTATAAACTGCCTCCCAGATAGGAACAATTGCAGCATTAGATGTCAAGAAACAGCAAAACACCGGCCCCGGGTTATGTACTGACCCACGTTCTTCTAGTTCTGCTTCTGTACATAAGGGAGCATTGCGAAAGATAGGTTTATAACAACATGACACATGTATGTGGCAGAACGGAAGGGGGTTGTGACATGCAGCTGCCGCATGTGTCTCACTGTGTTGTTTTGAGACACAGTAAATCACCACCGCTAAGGAACTATGACCCAGCTGTCCCCAATGGACGGGCTCCTGATTACATCATCACTGCACAACCAATGTGAACGAATGAAGGAGGGAGCCCCTCCTACCGGCCTCCAGCGTCATGGCCCACAGAAAGCGCAGATGGCAAGTGGTTAAGGGTTTAACAACACTTTATAATGCAATTGAAGCCAAAATATATATTTTTAGTTTTGGATGGAGTGGAGAGAGATTAGATCATCTGTCAGGATTTTATTGGTGTCGGTGTCCTCGTTATGGGGATTTGCCCTCTATTGTCCTAGTGACCGTTATCACTGAAAGGGAAAGTAAATCTCCAATTTTGGGTGGTCACCAGAACAAGAATATTTGGGAAATCTTCCAATGGGGGGCAATAGTTCTGCTGACCATCAGGATTTCGCTACATTTGGAGGGATATCCTCTCTCTTTCTGTCATGGCTATCAGGAAGTGAAGGGAGATCTCCTCATAGGACATGGATGGCAAAAAACTGATGGGGTTATAACCCTCCCAGACTCTTATTGTAAACCAAACAAAAATGTTTTGACTTCAAACATATAATACCTGGAAGTGTTACACTTACACATGATTTAACCTGCATGCAGGCATCATGAAATATGTACTTGATGCTAGTTCCACTTTAATGTAAATGACTATGTAAACACATTGAATAAAATGTATCACTACACAGCGTTCCCACAATCATATCCCATCTTTATTAAATAAAATAATATATACATTAAAATATAAAACTTATGAAAACATTGTAAAGCGTTCTCATCACTTGTATCTGCTAAGAAATCATTTGTACAGAAAAGTCCCGGCAATGTGACGCAGGATGAACTGTACAACAACCAATCGGCTCTCTCAGTCCATCTTGCGAGGAATGCAGCCTTCCATCTCCAGCACCTCCGGCCAGCCGTCATATTTGTTTGTCTCCTTATCATTCTTGATGTGCTGTCAAGGAGAACAAAAATATGAAACATTTTACACTTTCCCCGACGTGTATCTAAACCCAAAATCAACAATGTCCTATATTGCAGATGACCCATTCTTAGGACGTGGTGGCTATATTATAGACCCACGCTGTTTTCTGCAGTGACAACACCGTGGGAGCCCCCGGAGGGGCTAACCTTTCTTAGCACTAGTCTGTCTCCCCCTCCAAAAAACAACGGTGAGTCCCCGTTCACACCCAGGCGCTTTGTGGTTCAACGCTAAGCGCGACAAAAGCTCAAGACAAGGAATCCCATTCATTCTATGGCCTATGTTCACACCTCAGCATTTTGTTGCACGAAGAAAAACACCTGTTGCTGAAAAAGGTACATGAGCTACTTTTTGGCAGATTACAGCGCTTTTTGGTCCCACAGACTTCAATGGGAAACTTTGTGCAACAAAATGCGCAAAAAGTATTGATAATGCACATTTCCAATTGAAGCCTATGGGACCAAAAAGTGCTGTAAACTGCCAAAAAGTAGCTCATGTACCAGCGACAGGCATTATTCGGCTTGTGCCAAAACGCTTAGGTGTGAACAGCGGCCATTGAAATTAATGGAATTCCTTGTCTTGGGTGTTTTGTCACGCTTAGCTTTGAGCAACAAAATGCTTTGGTGTAAACGGGGATTAAGTGTGTTTGCCAAGAACTCAAACTTTTTCAATGGTTCCTCCAGGGCAATAATGTTGAGAAAGGCTGAGGTAGATAAACCTTCCCTCAGTATACCTTTACTTCCCTAACACACTGTTCAGCTGCCAGGAGTGAAGAGAACTGCCTGGTATTTTTGTGTACGGGGGTGCATGTGAATCTCTTCCCACCACCACAATGCAGAGCTGGGTGATCAATCAGTAGGCAGCCAGCACTGTCAAAGGCAGTTGGGCAGAGAGTGCACAGCCCCATATAAGCCCCAACATGGGTGACTTGTAGTTTACAGGGTTTTTTTCTTCACTCCTGTGGGTGGGTAAAGACAAGTGTGAGGAGAAGACAAGTATAGGTAGCTGTGGGGACAAAAGATAAGTAAATCTGTTGCTTTGGCCTACATAGAAAAGGCTGGGACCTGGTGATTGCCTCCTCATAATACAACTCTTAGGGTCTGAAAAGCCAGATGGCCCATCACATTGTTACATATTCCTGGGACTACCGGTATTATTGCAGACCGAGGATTGGTACACAGAGGAGTTGCGGTAAAGGGGATTATAGGCACCATCAAGTGACCAGTACATGGTATTGTGTTTCCAAAAAGTTTGGTAATTATACATGGGCATGGGTCAGATATATTTGTGGATTACAAATGCAAGCTCTGCGTCCAACTTACTAGTGCAGCACAATCCTTATACACTTCAGAAGTTTATATGTTTTAAAGGATTAGTTTAGTATCCTGTACATTTGTCTGATTGAAACCTCAGAAGCAGTCCTCCAGTAACAGACGAGTCACGGCTGCAACCTATTAACTCTGTGTCTGTACATTTCAACTTAAACTACCGAGTTCTACAAATAAGGGAACTTTTTTTTCCAACACAGAAGATAACACAGGAAGACGTGTAAAAAGGAGCCTAAAGATCCACCTGCTTGTTCAGGAGGATTAAACATTGTAATGGGTTATATTTCATATTTATGTTTTCACTGTATTTTCCTGACCATCATATATCATGGAAAAACACATGTACACAACCATTAGACATTCTCTATGACACTACTATTGTGCTAGTTTGTCTTCTTTAAAATCCACCATTAGAGGGCAATAAAGTACACGCCCATAATACAATGTTCCTACAGAGCAATTTGGAAATGCTAAAATATTGTTTTACATATTTATAGACACAAGCATAAACATCCGTGGTATTGTTAATAGGCTCTTATATAAATATATTACTGTTGTATTACTTTTTAATGTCATCATTAATCAATGTATTGTAAGATCTCGGTTTTTTATGCACTATTTCTGTTTCATAATTGCTTATTACAAGGAACCTTTTTGGTCATTCTTTCTCAGGGTATTCATCTAGGAAAGGAAATCTGTTTATTAGCAACCCATGCAAGAGCACACTTTATAGAATAAAACATTCCACTTGCTTTGGGCCACAACCTCACAGGTCACATAGTTTGCCGTTGTCCCCCATTCAAGGGCCAGGCCTTGGCTTTGGATATTTGCCCCTGGAATGGTCCATGATTTTGAACATATATTAGTTATAAAGTTTTTCTTCAGGAATATAACTTTTAATCTCCACTATTTAGGCCGTATTGGAAAAATGAGCATGCCATGATGGCATGGTATAGCCTAAGATGCAGAATGTCCTGAATCCTGCAAAACAGCCCTGTGGAGGGCAAAGCAATGAGTTCACTTGGCTGAACAACATGTACTCACCTTTCCTTTCCTCCTCAGTGCTCCTCCGCCAGTCTGGCAGCCCTCTGTAAGCTCCAAGTCAAGACATGGATTCATTGTCTTCCCTCCCCAATGTGACAGCACTTGGGAAATAATCAAGCACCAGCACTGTCACATTAGAATAAAGGGAGTGAGTATCATGCCCCCCTCCCCTTTACCTGAAACTACTTTGTATTGGCCAAGACTTCCCCAGTGTCTGGGGAAATAGCCATCAGGCAAGGCTTTTTATTTATCTGTGGAATCAAATGTTCGCTTGAAGAGTGGATGACTGGTGGACACCTGCAAAACCTCTGTTACTAAGGGCTGGACTTCCTCATCTTTGAGGCTAAGCACCCCCTACTTGATGCCCCCTTTTCAAATTAAATCTACCTCAGTGGCCAGTAAAATTCCCCTTACTGAACAGAGGGGAGGGGCTCAGCACTGGAGCTTGGTGCAGCCACAAATTTTGGAAAGTCCAGTCTGTAGTAATGAAGTGAAAGCAAGGGCAGAATACATCCAAACATTTTGAGATGAGAAAGCGGGACATCTTTCAGTACAAACTATGTAGACAAAGGACACCTACACTGCCAAGCCCCCAGTTACACGGACCATGATGAACTAATATGCAAAAATTATTGGCTAATCACACCTCTAAGGGTTGGTACTACGGTTCCTCCATCTCACCCTTATAACATGCCTTCATATAGGCTGCCGCTGCCTGGGGGGAGGGACACCGAACAGCATATCATGTGATGTGGCAGGAATCCCTCACCAGTGGTACTCACTGCAAGGTCTTGTCTGGGGCTCGGAGATTGGGCTGTTGGTTGGAGCCGTCATGTAGCATTGGCACAGTGATCGACACAGTGAGAAATTCAGTCCTGAAATTTACTTTCTCTTTCTTGGGCTCACAATGCAAAAAGCTCCAACACCTATGTGGCTGTAAATAGCAAAGGCCAGCCCTCAATAAAAAAGCAATTACTATAAAGCAGTGCCATCTCTTGCTTGAGAAATGCAATTAATACAACCAACAGCTTGGATATCTTTGTTTCTCAAGATGCTCCCATAAGAACTAGGAAGCTCGTTCTTGGGGGATTGTAATAAAAGTTTTGCCCATAAAGAATTCAAATGAATAAGCAAAATGTACTGTATTATCTACACGCACCGAGGTCAGAATGTCCTCAGTTCAGAATCATTTATTGGTGTGGTGCAAATATCTTATAGAGGCTTCTATGCTGAGCCAGAGGTCTAATCCAAGAACATATTTACCTGTTCAAAGGGACTTTTATGCTTTATGCCTTTTCCTCCGACAAATGTCCAAGAGTCTCGGAAACCAAGTTTTGTCGCAAAGCTACTACCATAACTGGAAAATAGTTCCCTGGCTTGCACATCCAGTCTAAAACAGAAAACACATTCCATTTATTTTTAATGTCAAAGTGTATATCGTGGCAACAATATAAAATTAGTAGTGCATGACTGCAATATAGGCACATTTTGCCATGTTTTATTCCTTTTTTAGACCCTGCAAGCACAGAGAAATATCTGTTGACCTGCCAGAAATGCACTCTGCCACAAAGTCCTGTGGTGGGCTGAGAAAACAGCATTTATGGTAGACGTGGTGTCAGCCCAGCCCAGTTTTCTTTTGAAAAAGATTCAAACCCTCCCATTCTCTTCATCTCTACAACATAGTTACTCATCGCTCTGCATTCCCAATATAAGAACTAGAAGGGATAATTACTCTCCGTGAGTTAACACAGGAAGTGTGGACACAAAGTAGGAGAGCACTCAAATAATCAACAGGCATTTTTTGCACTTATTGAACAGATGTAACCAAAACATTAAATTGTATATTTAACAAACCAATGAGAGCAAATAAGACTTCATTGTTAGGGTTTACATACACTTTCACCAATGTTGGATATCCTAGTATATACACTATATGACCAAACGTTTTTGGACACCTATCATTCCTATTTGATCTTGTTGTACGTCATTCAGAAACCAAGGAATTGGACCTCTTTTCGGACTAGAACAGCCTCCACTCTCCTGAGAAGGCTTTTGAAGTGTCTGTGGGAAATTCATGTCTATTTATCCTAAAGAACATATAGGTCAGGTAGTAAAGTTGGTTGAGAAGACCTGGCTCACAACCAGTGCTGCAGTTTAGCTTAACGGCATTCCATAGGTTTAAGCTCATGGCTCTGTACAGGTCCCTAAATTCGTCCACACCAAAGTCATCAAACCATGTCGTAAAGGAGCTTGGTGTACAGGGCCACAGTTATCCCTGAACAGAAAAGGAGCCTTCCCCAAACTGGTGGCACAGGTTTGGAAGTGCACAATTGTCTAAAATGTCTTTGTATATTAGGACCAATGACTGTCCTTTTTACACCAGCTGAATGTGCGAATGTAGTGGTGTCTTGCACTATTACTCAAGGCACTGCTTACTTTTTTTTTAACTTTATTGGCAGTGTACAAAGTGTACACTCCATTCAAACGTCTCCTTACAGCAACACAGTGTGCATCACTGTGACGGCCTCTGGTGCCATCCAATGGGCTGTGGAAAGAGGCAACATGTCTGAATTTTTCTGCACTGCTCATCACACCAGCACTATGGTGTGAACGGGACACACAGATCATTTTTTTTTTTCCTGTGTGGCCTTGTAGTGACTTGTATAAGTAGATGGAGAGACCCTCCGCACTCCTCACAGCACTCCCGGCCAGATAAGAAAAAAGTGGTGCTCGCAGTGATGAATTACCACGAACGGCGCCGTGCAAACACAGGAAAGTCAGGAAATCACCAGCACTCAGTAGTAAAGATAAACATGTCCCTTTTATTGGACAGAAAGCATCCCTTCCTCAAGGCAGAAGATCTTTCTGCCTTGAGGAAGAGACCCTGCGCGGCCCCGAAACGTCGGTTTATTTGGATGTCTGTGACGTTTTCCGTCCAATAAAAGGGACATGTTTATCTTTACTACTGAGTGCTGGTGATTTCCTGACTTGCCTTGTAGTGACTGGCGTTGATCCAATGGGAAAAAATGCCAGACAGCCCAATTGGTGTGATAAAGCCCACGAGTGGTTACAGGGTATACCTGCTCTTGGGTATTGGATTCAATTCCTAGACTTGCATTGAGGTTATAAGGTTGTATGTTCCATGTCCCTTCATATCGTCATAATGCTAGCTACTGACCCTCACTGGTGTTTGCTTGTATGACTTTGATAGGGATATTAGATTGTAAGGAGCCCTTGAGCAGAGATGGATATGAATGGTCAATCACTCTCTGCGCTGACCCCAGCACCACCCCCCGACATCATACTACAAGTCTTTATGCAGCTGCTGGGGGAAGAATGAAGGGAAATACAATAAAGTGCCACTTGGGTGACAGTGTGTAAGTCTGCTGGGGCTGCTCACTTTACATCCAAAATGGCGGCACCCAACAACAGTCTCAGGTTTGTGGATGTCTACAAAAAGGAGGCTTTTACTGGCATCTAACGTGCATAAAATACATTTCATGCAAATTTAATGAAATGAGAAAATCCTCATTGAAGGACCCTGCAAGGTAAAGGAACCACCCTAAAACAGGATATTTGGACCAGTGCTCAGGGGACCAGCTCATTCTGCAGAAAACTAAAAAAAAAAACTTTTAAACATCAAGGATCTGCATCCATAGTAAGTCATTTAATCAGCATTTGGAATAGCTTAAAAACCTTTGGATTTTAATATCACTTTAGACACATATTTGGATTTTTGTACCATTAACGATTAATTGCTACTACATGCGACTTGTGTGCCCCACTCCATAAGGAGCCATTTGTTCCAAATATGTAGCGTTCAATTGCTACTCTAAAAGGTGCCCATACACTGTTCCAATTTTGGACGGTTTTTGAGGAACCGGCCGAAATTCGCAGTGTGTGCTGCTGTCAGCACCCTTTCGATCGGAAATTCCTCCTTTTTGTAGACATCCACAAACCTGAGACTGTTGTTGGGTGCCGCCATTTTGGATGTAAAGTGAGCAGACCCAGCAGACTTACACACTGTCACCCAAGTGGCACTTTATTGTATTTCCCTTCATTCTTCCCCCAGCAGCTGCATAAAGACTTGTAGTATGATGTCGGGGGGTGGTGCTGGGGTCAGCGCAGAGAGTGATTGACCATTCATATCCATCTCTGCTCAAGGGCTCCTTACAATCTAATATCCCTATCAAAGTCATACAAGCAAACACCAGCAAGGGTCAGTAGCTAGCATTATGACGATATGAAGGGACATGGAACATACAACCTTATAACCTCAATGCAAGTCTAGGAATTGAATCCAATACCCAAGAGCAGGTATACCCTGTAACCACTCGTGGGCTTTATCACACCAATTCCGATTCGGAATCCCTTGATCAGCTGGTCGAAGGAGCCGGTCGGAAAATCTTCAATCGATCAGAGCTGGCAGCCAATGAGCTGCCCGCTCTGGTCGGGTATTCTGACAGGGGCCGGCGGTACCTGTCAGAATACAATGTAAACAGCGGGATTCCTTGATTGACACGCTGTTAGTGTTGATGGAGGAATCGGGTCTATTTTTTTTGTTCAGCCCGCGGGTTAAAATGAAAAAAATAGATGGGTGTATGGCCAGTCTTAGGAATTAATGGCTAGTCTGTGTGCTTCCTGGTTTAGTAGGGGAAGTGACCCTGCCCTGAGTAATCAACCATGCAAAAGGGACAGCAATAAAAATTTGACTGAGAGTCCAACCCTTCCACGCTCTAGCCAAAACTAAAAAGAAAAAGGAGGTGGAAGCAATACCTGTTGTCTCCTTGTGGCTATGAGAGCAGACACTTCCCACGTATTGTATTGTATTGTGACTGACAAGCTATTGTCTATTTCTGGATTAGCAGCCATTTGTATGTGAAAGAGAAGAAAAATCCTTTTAACCACCAAAACCGTAGGTGAGTGACACATTCTTACCACACCTGCCATATTTTAATCTTTCCTGATAGAAAACAATCAGGTAGAATTTTAAACTTTCTAAAAATACTTTGACTACGTTGTGGATAAAGATGTATGACAGACATATAAAAACAGCAAATAATGCAGTTATGTAAAAAAAGGTTTTACACAACCATATGTAGAAAATAAAACATTAAAGTTCACTTTCTGAAATGTACTTTTCTGAGGATTTTTTTTTTTTTTTAAACCTCGAGCAATTGCTTGGAGTACAGCTTTACCCGAGAAATTAATAAGATTGCAGTGCATATGAGCAGTATAGAGTGGCCATTTTTCGGAAGCTCAGAAGGGTGCTACACAGTGAAGACTGCTGGATCGGGGCTGAAGGTAAGTATAAACCAAGCGGGCAGCACTCAGAAAGGAAGGGGGTGTTGATTTAAAGCAGATCACCAGGATTTTTAAAAGTTAACCCTTGCAGTGGGGCAATGCAAATTCTGGCCCTCCAGCTGTAGTCAAACTCCAAATACCGTTAAATATTGTAAGACTCTGACAGTCACAAGCATGACTCCCATTCTGGGATTTATGGTTTTACCACAGCTGGCAGGCCGGAGTTTGCCTACCTCTGCTATAGACTTTTGCTATGCCAATGGAGTTTAAATAATTCCGGTTTTATGTGATCAGACATTCCAGAGAAGAGACGTGAGCATGGCCATGTAACCGGGGTATGTATATAACGCAATGTATTCTTTACTCACTTTGTTGCTGGATCATCAAAAGATGCCAAAAATATCAATGTGCCATCTGTCATCTTCTCCAAAAACAGCTTAACATCCTTGACATCTTAAATCAAAATGACAAGAAAAATGGTATCAAGGAAAAGTTACAGCAATTTGCACTTTACAACCGCGTATTCTCGTTATTACATACGCTTGTATATATTTGTATAAACCACAGAAGGTGAAACACATAATCAGGTAACAGACCAGCAGACCCTTCAACTACCATAATATAAGGAAACCAGAAATAATGACTTACCGCCAGAGTACATGTCATAATGGCCCGTATGTTTGAGTTCACCTGTAGAGGCTAAAAAGAAATGAGAGAAATTAATTACAGCAAATCAATTTAATTATGATCTTTTTTTTTCAAGCAAAATGAAACTTCTGACAGCCTTCAAGTCCCCGTTCACACCTAAGCGTTATGTCACTCAAAGGTAAGCGCAACGAAACGCTCAAGACAAGGAATCCTATTAATTTCTATGGCCTCTGTTCACACCTGAGTGTTTTGTCACATAAAGTTTCCCATTGAAGTTTATAGGCCCAAAAAGCGCTGCAATCTGCCAAAATTAGCTCATGTACTTTTTCCAGCGACAGGTGTTTTTCTGCCTGCAGCAAAATGCTCAGGTGTGAACAGGGGCCATAGAAATGAATGGGATTCCTTGTGTTATGCATTTTGTCTTTGAATGACAAGACACCTAGATGTAAACGGGGACTAAATGAGGGGTTCCTAGCTGGCGGTATCCATTATTCTTAGGAGTATGGGAACACAATGAAGGGGTTATGCCTCTTGATCTCTGAATAATAACAAAATTGTTGTTAGCTTATGATGTATCACTGTTATCAATACGACCTTGGGTGGCAGGGCCGCTAACCTATCAGCAAACAGATCACTCAACACAGAAGTCTTACTACTTCCCAGTACCTAGTCCTATCTAAAGGCAAAGCCAGCTGTACCCGCCCCCTCCCCCGTCCGTTCCGCCAGTCAGCGTTGGCAGTTTGGAGCGGGGAGGGGGGTATCCAGCCCCTCCCCTGTCACGGCAGAGAGCCGTGACAGGATCGAGAGGTGAGCGAACGCCGGTATGTGTTCACTCACCTCCCGATCTACTGAGCCGACCTGTGACAGTCTCATTGTCACAGGTCGGCTAGAACTATGAGGTGAGCGAAAAGCACTCACCTCATAGTTCTCCTTTAAGCTTCCATTAAGATTGGTGAAATCAGTTTCACTCCACTCATCTATTATGGAACATAAAGTACATTGTCGGAGTCTGCATTGTATTTCTCCTTGTTCTTACCATTGACTAGCGCCATGTTTAGTCCTCTTCCAATGTTGTTTTTCACACTGCTCATTAGGCTGAAAGACAAGGACATTTATATTATAGATAATAATACTGAATGTATAATGATGAACAATAAACACAAGACAATGAACTAGAGATATGAACAAGATTTGCTCAGTCTGTATAAGGTCCCTTTCACACGGGCGCCTTCAGTTCTGATCAGAAGGGTACCTAGACACGAATCCCCTGCTGATGGGAGCAGTTTGCAATGGATGTCATTGTTGTGATATCTGTGTCTGTTCAGTTTTTTCCTCTATCTTGTAATGGAGGAAAAAATGAAATGACTGGACCGGTGCTGGTCTATGGACTAATAGACATGTGTCTGTTTACATCAGATTATCCCCAATACGGCACAATTAGGTCCGGAGAAACGTTTGGGGGGTTATTCACTAAAGAGCCGAAGGATCCAGCCGTAGCTTCGGCCGCCTCTGCCCTTCGATTCAGTCAAACTGAAGGGCTGCTGTACAGGCTATTAACAATAGTCCGTACAGCAGCTGAAGGCAGCCGAGTGGCTCACCTGAGCCAAACGAATGTGCTTCGGCTCGGCTGAGCCGTAGTGACACCCGAAGAGTGGTTGCCACCTTTTCTTCAGGAGAAACCCAAACACTCTAGCGACACAGGGAAATTTTGGGGGGAGAATGAGTTGCGGCTTATTCATATGTAAATAGCGTCACCCATTTATATGTAAATATCACAGTCAAGACTATTTTTAGTTGGGGGGCCAGTAGCCCCTATCTTAATTTTGGTTGCCCCTCTCTGCCTGACATCTTGTGTCCGGGTTTCAGCTGCCATGACACAGCATTCAAAACCCGGACTGTCCGGGTGAATCCTGGACAAGTGGCAACCCTAAATGTAACAAATCAGATTCATTTTTAGTAACATGAGGACAAGTTATAATCTTTGTCAGGTTATTATTACTGTCGGTAACTTTCCACCCCAGTGACATTTCTCATTTCTTATCCTCCTGTCACAGGTCATCAGAAAGACAGGAAGTGAGTAGAAATCTTCCCAATGCCATGAACAGGAATTAAAACTGGTCATAAATATTTTATTTTCCTCCCTTCAATCAAAAGAAAAATTATCTATATATCTGGGCTGCTAAAAGTTCTGCTTCAAGGAAAAATGATTTACGCACTGCAGTAAAGAATAACGTCATTCCAATAGTAGCTGAACAAGGCTGACCAATGGCATCGGGACTGTAAAAACAACAGGGGTGTCACCAGACTACAGGTACAGGGACGGTGCCTGATTTCAGCCTAGCCATTACCCAGAAAGGACCATCTCCCCTCCTCCTCCATTTACATTTTGGTATGTGCAGCCAGATGGGGGTTAAAGAAAGTTTTGGAGATGTAAATGACAAGTCACTTAATATGCTTAGTAAACATAAAATCAAATCTGAAGGCTGCCATATGTTGTTCTCTAACAGTTAAAAGTTTTTCATTATATGCAAATCATTAACGAAGAGCAGCAGGAATTTTGGCAATGAAAGGCCCTGTACAAGGAAGAATTCTTGAGAAGCATATGTTGTAAATGTCACTCGTTGTGCTCCATGTTGTGCACTTCTATTTAGGAAAAGGTTTCATAAATCTTTATATTTGCAGCCCGTATTTCACTGCATGATAAGTTCAGCTAAGAAGATGTACCAATGGAACATGTACAGTTACCTGCATTACCCTTAAAATGTAATAACAGCCTGAAGTTCTGATGTAATCTTAAAGCATATCTTAACTAGGGGTCTACTAATATGGATTTTTCAGAACCTATACCCATTATGGGTCACTTTTCATTTACGTGACATCATCATGTACAATGCAGGGCCCATAGCACTGCATTAGAGCCCATTCACACCAATTGTGCTGCGTTCCAGAGCAGCAGCTGCTGGAACGCACAGCAATCGCTTACTAAATTTCCCCGTTCGTTCTGGGGGCAAAGGAGGCGTGACAGTGCATTTGAACCAATGGCACCGCAGCCACGCATCCCCCCCACCCCCCCCGCAGTGCGATCTGATACAAGGCAAAACAAATGGTTCATGGTCTATTTATTGCGTTCGCAGTGGACTGGAACGCAGGCAGTGTTTTGCCATGCGTCTGATTGCACTACGGGGGGGGGGGGGGGGGGGGGGCATGGCTGTGGTGACATTGATTTCAATGCACCACCACACCCCCTCCCGCCCCAGAACGAAGGGGGAACTTTATTGAGTGATTGCTGTGCGTTCCAGATCAACAGACCACAAATGGTGTGAATGGGCCCTTATACAGTATGTAAGGTTGCCGAGGGGCAGTCCACGGGATGGAGTGAAGGGGAGACTGGGAGTGCAGGCGAGGAAAGTGCTGACTGCCGGGGGAGCAGGTAAGTAAAAGTCCTGTACATAGGTACCCTAGACATTGACGAACAGTTAACCCTTGCAGTGCGGAAGTAGCCCCACTGCAAGGGGAGGGGTTTTTTCCCTCGGAAATAGGCATTAGCTTATCGGATCTTGCATGTGGTGGATGCATTTTTCCGGTTTAAACCTTTCCCCCCCCCTTTTTTAACCTGATGAACCTGTGAAAAACACAATTCCTGCCCGTGGCTGGCTACACTCACTCCTCCACTGTATCTATGGAGGCAGCCTTGGGTGTCACACCAGCTGGACTTCAGATATGTCTGCCTTTGTTCATCTCAGTCAGGTGGATTTATGGGACTAGTAGCTTACACAATAAAGATAAGTTGTTTGTGCCGTCTTTTCAGCTCACAGGAAGTGACAAGGACCTGGCATTTCTGGCACAATCAACAGGCATTTCTGTACTTTCTGAAAATGTTCTTAGCCTGAAAAGTGAATAATGAATGCAGACAGCACATCTAATGTCTAGTAAGCTATAATATATGTGTTTGCTTTTGAGTTTAGATAAGACTTTAAAATTGATCATAACATTTGATTGGATTAGTATACAGATGCAAGGAGGGCTTTATACCACTAGCCTAATATTGAGTAGGTCCCCTTTTTGCCACTAAAACAGTTCTGCCCCATCGAGGCATGGGCTTCACTAGACCTCTGAAGGTATGCTGTGGTATCTGGCACCAAGCTGTCAGTAGCCTTTAAGACCTGGAAGCTGCAAGGTTGGACCTCCATAGATCTTACTGTTTTTTCCAGCACATCCCACAGATGCTCGATTGGATTGAGATCCAGAGAATTTGGAGGCCAAGTCAACACCTCAAACTTGTTGCTGTGCTTCTTAAACCATTCTTGAACCATTTTTGCAGTGTGGCAGGGAGCATTATCCTGCTGAAAGAGGCAACTGCTATTAGGGAATACAGTTTCCATGAACTAGCAACAATGTTTAGGTAGGTGGTATGTGTCAAAAGTAACTTCCACATGAATGGAAGGACCCAATATTTCCCAGCAGAACATTGCCCAAAGTATCACACTGCCTCTGCCGGCTTGCCTTCTTCCCATAGTGTATCCTGGTGCCATCTCTTCCCCAGGTAAGTGAAATACCTGGCCACCTTCTTCCATTGCTCCATGGTCCAGTTCTGATGCTCACCTGCCCATTGTAGGTGCTTTTGGCATTAGAAAGGGGTCAGCATGGGCACCCTGACCAGTCTGCAAGTACACAGCCACATACACATTAAACTACGACGCACTGTGTGTTCAGACACCTTTCTATCGAAACCAACATGAATGTTTTCAGAAATTTAAGCTACAGTAGCTCTTCGATTTGATTGGACTACACAAGCCTGCCTTCGCTCCCCACGTGCATCAGTGAGCCATGGCTGCCCAGGATCCTGTTGCCAGTTCACCGGTTTTCTTACCTTGGACCACTTTTGGTAGGTCCTGACCGACCACTGCAGACTGAGAACATCCCGCAAAAGCTGTCAAAGTCACTTAAATTCTTATGCTTGCCCATTTTTTCTGCTTTCAACACATCAACTTCAGGGACACAATGTTCACTTGCTGCCTAATATATCCCACTCATTTCCATGTGTCATTGTAATATATCCCCCCAATTTCCTGGTGCAATTGTAACGTGAAAATCAATGTTATTTACTGCACCTCTCAGTGATCATAATGTTATGGCTGATCGATGTATATAGTCTTGTCTCTTAGTCCCACGTCCTATTAGCAATGCTGTTACCGGCAGCAACTCAGCTCCATTAAGTGCGGTGGGAATAACTTCTCACCAGTGGTGTCACAAGGTGGGTGCGGCCCGCACCCGAGTGACACCATTGGATAGGTTACACCAAAATGACTGCCAGTCATTTTGGTGTCACCCCCTCTAAAAAGTCGTGCACTTGGTCATGGACCGAGAGCCCGACAGTGTCAGGAGAGAGGAGGGGACCCGGCGCATACCTCATCCCACCGGGTGAATGTCCCCTCGTCTCTCTGCCGGCGTCCATCACCAAGATGACCGCGGCAGGTGTCAATTAGACGGCTGCGCATGCAGACGATCAAAGTGATCTACCATCAGTTTCCGTTGCTTAATAGTTGTGATAGAATTTATTGGTGGTAGGTTTCCTTGATCTTGTAATGAGACCGTCTCCACAGACCATTCATTTCAACAGAATTATTTTTATAAAATGAAATGTGTATTGAACATGTTTTACTTCATGTTACCTACCTGCAGAAGCATCCCTTGTGTAGACATCCAAACAACCCTGAGACTGCTGCTGGGCAGCGCCATCTTGGATGTGCTGTCAGCCACGTCAGCAGACATCCTATAGTATTCCACTTTGCTCCTCCCCCCGGCAGCTATACAACAGCTTATGTATGGAAGTAAGGGGAGGGGTGAAGGAGCTGGGCCAGCATAGAAAGTAATTAGGCATTCTTAGAAGAGAAGAGGGGTATGGCATAAGGGGGCAGGGACTGTGCTAGGAAACGGACCATTCCTGAAGAAGTAAAATTTTCTAGCAAGTAAAACGGGGCGGTACAAGTGAACAAAAAAAAATAAATTTATGGAAAAGAAAAACACTGCAAGCAAGCATTTAAAATACTTGATTTTTTTCTGCTTTTAGCTGCATTTTTTACGTTGGTGACAGG